TCGACCTGACGCGACCCCGTAATGAGAGAGGGTGCACGCAGGTACAGACAGAGTTTGGGAAATTTATGGCAAAAGCGTGAGAATGTGGGCCCCCACTCATGATAGGGTCAAGGGCAATGCATACCACTTGGAAGCCCCCTTGATGATTTGGTGGGGAACCATGAGCTACCCCACTTGTCTAGTTGTCCTCTAATTACTATGCTCTTCATTAGTTATTCATGAAAATCTCCATGTCTTGTAATCCTAGTGGATAACATGTGGGCCTTCTCTTCCATCATCTCTAATTTTTTATTGCTTGTTGATCATAAAAACGAAGATTGGGAAAGTTGAGTTTCCCCTTCCCTCTTTGTAGATGATGGAAAAATTACAGTTAAACAGCAATCTCAAATCATCATGTACATAAATAATGAACAAATTAATGTTCTTATGCATCCAACATACTTTGGATGAGTTTTAAAAAAAAAATAACTTTTTATATCTTATTTATCTTAAAAGTATTTTTTTTATAAAAATTAAAACTATTTAGATTTTAAAAAAAATATTTGGTTTTTAAACAACATATTTAACTTTTACTTTTACTATTTTTAGAAACTAAAATTTTTAGTTTTAAAAAATAGTTTTTAATTTATTTTGTAATTTTTTTTAAACAAACATCCAAACACTAATTTATAGTGAGAGGGATTTTTTTTCTAGAAAAAAATAGCTTTTGAAAAGAAAAAAAAAACTCATTCAAACGGACATTAAACCTGTTTTAGGATTAATTGATAAAGTCTATGAGAAAAGTTGAATAATCATTAACCTTATTGCTAGGGTCTTTATATTTTGGCTTCCCTATAAAATTTTCTAGCTCCCAACCAATAATAATGCGGGTCTATACTTTTTTCCCTTGTTTTTTTTTTTTTTCCCTTTTTATTGCACTAAGCAGTCACTTACAACTACAAGTGGGCTGAGTTTGATGGGTATTGTAATTTGGATTGGGTTTAGTAACATGTGGTAACTCCAAACCCCTCTCAGCATTCATCATAACCATCATGGATGTACACGTAACACCAACACCTGTCTCAAAAATCTCAATTACTTGGGTGGACATATGTGCATTAAAGTCCAAAACTTTTCGTTCTATTGTTTCCTCTTTTTCCATCACTTTTCATTTTTCCATGTAAGAAAACATCAATTATATCCTTGAAATTGAAACCGACATTATATACTTTCAAAATCTGCAGGAAGCTGAGAACGTTCAGTAATTGGGTAGACAAGATAAACGTTTCCCTAAACGTTTCCCTCTCCTCCAACTCATCTATCACTATCTGCCTTATTGATACCATTCGTATCAATATCATAAGAAAAATTTACAAAACAAATCATGATGAATCTTATTAAAATAGCACATATCTTTGTACAAAAATAAAATAAAAAAATAGCACATATCTGACAAGAGATCCCAAGCAATTATTATCATACTTGAGCTAACTCTAAAGCTAAAAAATTGGCATGTATAACTGAGTGTGTGGGTTAGAGTAGACAAGTTAACTACATGAATTTATTTATTTTTAAGTTTCGGTAACTTGTGATGGAGGAATTTTTCTTTAGTGCTACAGGAGTCGGTATTTTCCTTTTCTTAAAAATAAATTTTTTATTTCATTTAAACCTAACATTTTTATCTTTATTTTCATCTAAATTTCAACTTATTACCCTTTTTAAAATGATGTATGGTACTAAAGGAGTGGTAAAGATTATTTTCAAAAAAAAAAATGAGTGGTAAAGATTTGTTCGTGACGGAGATTCCATTATCCAAGTAAGATAGTAAACAGATCTTTTTTCAAAAGTAATTACTAGTATTATGTTGCCTAAGACTTTGTTGGAGAGTTTGGAGAGGAATAAAAAGAAAGAGATCGAAAGGGGAGGAAAAAGAAAAGAAGAAAAATGAAGGATATTTTTTCCCTTGTTTAAGAGTTAAAAATATGCACCCAAGTGTGGTGGCTCAGTTGGTAGCATGGGGACTGAGTGGTGGGAGATGACCTCGGTTCGAATCCCACCAACACCATCTGGGGAGGGGCATAAGTACCGTAGGACTCGCACCCGAACTCTGGATTAGTCCCGTAGGCGGCTCAAAGAGTCGAACCCGTGGGGATACCGGGGGTTCTGATTCGCCGCAAAGAAGTAATTAGGATCAATTTCCAAAAAAAAGAGTTAAAAATATGCAAGAGAAAAAAATTGAGGGTTAATGAAATATTTTTATTATTTTACTCCTTTTATAAAAAGTAATATAATTATTATAATTTACAAATAAAATTAAATTTAAAATTTCTAAAAAATTTATTTATCTACTTTTCTGTTAAAAAAAAGCACAAAAGGTAAACTAAAAATTGGGCATGTGCAATATCCACAATCCTTGAAAAGGCCCTCACCCAACACCTTAAGGTTAAGGAACCGCTTCAATTTCTATGGGACCTTGTAGTCACTCAAGCTCTGATACCATGTTAAGGAACCACTTCAACCCAAAACCTTAAGGTGTTGGACCTTTTTAATGATTTATATATTCTCTAATATTTTCACACTACTAAAATAGCTTAAATTTCGACAGAATTTTTTCATTCCAAATGACAACAATTTCGTCGAAAAATACTTTTTGAACCAAATTTTTCTATTGAAATACGCTTTATGAAAGGTGATGAAATTTTTTATCTGTCAAAATTTTTGATCGAAATAAGTTTGCATCAAAATTTTCAACATAAAAAAGATTGTGACAGAAAATGTTGAGAGAAAAAACAAGTTTCGTAAAAAGTTTTGACGCAAAACAATTTCCAATGAAAATTTCTCATGCGGATTGATGACATGTATTTTTTTGAAATTTGTGACAAAAAAAATTTTGTTGGAAATTTTTAACTAAACAAAATTCCTTCAAAAATTTTGACGAAATTCTTTTTGGGGAAGGATATTGTGACAACCAAGTTATGTTACTATCAAGTGACTACCAATCAATCTTACCGTTAGATCGAATATATTGATCCAACGGTTATATTTATTTTCATCTTTGTATGGTCATGATTTCCTAGATTTAATACTTTATATTTATTTTCACCTTTGTATGGTTATGATTTTCCATATTTAATGCTTTCACTTTAAATATGGGGAATCATGACCAAACAAAGATGGAAATAAATATAACCGTTGGATCAACATAATCGATCTAACGGTGAGATTGATTGGTAGTCACTTGGTAGTAACTTGGTAGTAACACAACTTGGTTGTCACAATATCCTTCCCCATTCTTTTTTCCGTCGAAAACTTTCAACGAAAAATATTTAAGAAATTATTTTTGTCAAATTTTTTTAAGGAATTTAGATCCCATAGAAATTTTTGACAAAAATATTTCTCATCAAAAATTTTGACGAAAATATTTTGCTTCGAAAATTTCGACCGAAATATTTTTCGTCTAAAATTTTGACAAAAATATTTTTGTCAAAACTTTCAACAATATTTTGATTCTGCCCAAAATTTTCTCGAAAATTTTGAAAAAAAATTTCATCAAAAGTTTTGATAGAAAAAATATTCTGTCGAAATTTTTGAGAACGGAAATGTTTCCTTCAAAATTTTTGATATAATTGTTTTTCGTTGAAAATTTCAAAGAAAATATTTTCAGTCGAAAATTTTGACGTAATTTTGATTCCGACAAGAATTTTCTCAAAATTGTTTGTTGAAAATTTTTGTCGGTGATTATAACCGAAGCTTCTACCGTTTTTAATTTCGTCTTTAGTTTCAACAATATTTTTTCGTCTATATTTTCGGCGGAATATAATTTTTTCAAAAATTATGTCATTATTTTTGACGAAATATTTTTCGTCATTAAATTATGTCGGTATTTAAAATTTTTCTTGCAGTGTCACATTTAAAAAATAATTCACACTTATGTAGTTTTTACATTTTAACGTTAAGGGTAAATAAGTAATTTATAATATTTCCTCCCTCAAATCTCTTAGGAGATGTTTGGTTGAGGTGAAATTTTTTTTTTCTAGGGAAATGTAAATACTAGGGATCTGCAGGAAAAGTGAGTTAGATAGAAAAGTTTTAAAAAAGTTGTTTGGTTGGACAAAATTTTACCAGAAAAATTGAATGAAATTCCTGAATATGTGTTTGGTTGAAGATAAAATATTAATTTGAAAATAACCCTTTTGTACCACAAACCAAAATTTAGCCGGTTTTCTCATAGAAATACCACCTCTTGAGATGCTTTCTGGAACAATGATTTTATTGGTTTTTACATGTAATTGTCAATTGATAGGGAAGTGAATTAGATGGGTAAAATTGATGAATCGGTGAACCAAATGTAGGGAATGCAGAATCCCTTTTGCACTTAGCTAGGAAAGTGGAGAAAAGTCTCGAAACAAACACCCCCTTAAGGATGTGAAGAATTTTGAAGGATTTTATAAAAATCATCAATTTCATTTTAAACACACAAATAAGGGAAAAACACGAGAAAACCTTCCCCGGTGACTCCCAAATAAAACCTAACTAATTTGAGTGTGGTATTGAATGAATAGGACCACCAACAACGTAAACTTCATTTTTTTATTCAATTAATTAAAAGGTGAAAAAGTTGGGAGAAAAAAATAATTTCAGTGATTAGATAAAAAAGAAGAAGGAAGAGTCACTAATTTTAGTGATTAATAAAGGATTTCGCAAACAATTACTTGCACCCTAATGATCAAACTTACTCCCCTTGACCGACATAGTCAAACAAAAGCATCACCGGAAAGAAAGAAGAAGAAAAAAAAAAAAGGTAGTAAGGAAAGAGGCTTTGAATTGATGATTTTCATTATTCAATATGAAGCAAAATTACACTTCAACAAAAATATTTTTTCTGAGATAAAAATGTTTATGTTCTCAGTAATCATCATTCACCTATAAGAAGGAGAGTAGCATTAGGGCCTTATGTATTTGGGCCCATTCAATGAGAAGCAGTGAGAGTCCAACATTTTTTTTTTTTTTTGTTTTTGTGAATGAGAGTCCAACAAATTTCCATTCTTCACTTGAGCAACCAAAACCTCCGACGACCTCCGCCGTGCTGGGTGCCGCTGACAGGGGTCACTCTACGACAGCTCCGAATGTCAGCTAAGTTTCATGTTACTTCTCCTCTCTTCTTTCGGTTGAGGCACCATTGTTTGAACTCTCTCTCTCTCATCACCTTCTCTCATTCCTTTAACCTTCGATTCTCTCACTGCCTTCATTCCCATTCCCCATCCTCTTCTGGGTCTGAGTGCTGTGATTATTTGACTCAGTTTCTCCCTTTTGGGACCTCAAATTTCAAACCTTCAAGTATAATAAGCCCAAGGGAACGCCGATTAGTGGTGGTGGGATTATCCAATATCATAAAGAATGAGAAGGGTTTTGTGCTGAAGGGCTTCTCCCTGCGTTTTTGTCCATTCTTTCTTGTGAAGATTATGAAATTATTAGAGACAAGGGATGCTGCATTTGCATTCTTCAAGTTAGCATTTGGGGATAGTTATGATTCTGAGGAGATAGTTCGGTTGTGTTGCATTGGGGCACATGTTTTGGCAGCTCAGAACCTTCAGCTGCTTGCGCAGGACATGGTTTCTTGGGTTATTGCGAGGATTGGGGCTACTAGAAGCAAGGAAATGGTGGAGTTTATGTGGAGGAATCATCCTCGGTATGAGTCTGATTTTTCTGTCTTGAATACCCTTATGAGGGGTTTTTTGAATGTTGGGATGAGTTTAGAGGCATTGGATATTTTGCATAGGATGAGGGTTGTAGGAGTTAGGCCGGGCTTATCTGCAATAACCCTTCTTTTCAGGTTGTTACTTAGGATTGGTGATTATGATAGTGTGTGGAAGTTATTTAAGGATATGCTCCGGAAAGGGCCTTATCCTTCGAATATTACATTTAACATGATGGTTTATGGGTTTTGTAGACAGCAGGAGCTTGTAATAGGAGAAAGTGTGTTTCATTTGATGCCAAAGTTTGGGTGCAATCCTGATGTTTTTACATTTAACATTCTTATTAGTGCCCATTGCAATAGGGGAAGGACCTCGGTTGCCATTGATTGGCTGCATTTGATGATAAAAAGTGGTTGTGAACCGAGCATCGCCACATTTAATATCATTCTGCATGCCCTTTGCAGGGAAGGAAATGTGATGGAGGCGCGGAAGCTCTTTGATGGGATTCATGATATGGGTATCACTCCAAATACTGCAATATACAATACACTGTTGGATGGATATGTCAAGGCAAGGGAGATTGGTCAAGCTAACATGCTTTATGAAGAAATGAGGACTAAAGGCATTGCCGCTGATTGTGTGACTTTTAATATTTTGGTTGGAGGGCATTATAAATATGGGAGAGAAGAGGATTGGAACAGGTTTTTGAAAGATTTAACAGTATCAGGATTGTTTCCAGATTGTTCACTATATGATGTAACAGTATCATGGCTATGTTGGGTTGGCAAATTTGATGAGGCCATGAAATTATTACAAGATTTGCTTGAAAAGGGACTAACTCTTAGTGTGGTTGCCTTTAACTCATTAATAGGAGCCTATAGCAGGGCAGGTTTAGAAGACAAAGCTTTTGAAGCCTATCATATTATGGTTACATGCGGTTTCACTCCTTCATCATCCACATGTAATTCTTTGCTTATGGGTTTGTGTAGGAAAGGGAGGCTGCAAGAAGCCAGGACACTTTTGTATAGGATGTCAGAGAAGGGATTTCCCATCAACAAAGTAGCTTACACTGTGCTTTTTGATGGATACTTCAAGATGAATGATCTGGATGGGGCTCAACATCTATGGAAGGAAATGAAAGAAAAAGGTATATATCCAGATGCCGTTGCCTTTGCGGCCTTAATAGATGGACTTTCAAAAGCAGGTTTTGTTGAGGAGGCATACAAAGTGTTCCTAGAAATGTCAGCTATAGGTTTTGTTCCTAATAATTTTGCATACAATTCTTTGATTGGCGGGCTTTGCAACTGTGGGAAGATGACTGAAGCATTAAAGTTGGAGAAAGAGATGAGGCTAAAGGGCCTTCTTCCTGACACCATTACCTTCAATATCATCATTGATGGGTTTTGTAGACTGGGGAAAATGAAGTCTGCAGTGGATGCATTTCTTGGCATGCACCGGATTGGTTTGATGCCAGATATCTTCACATTTAACATATTAGTTGGAGGATACTGTAAGGCATTTGACATGGTTGGTGCAGATGAGGTTGTTAATAAAATGTACACATGTGGAATTGACCCGGATATTACAACCTATAATATACGCATGCATGGTTACAGCAGTATTCGAAAAATGAATCGAGTAGTTATCATTTTGGATCAGCTTGTCTCTGCTGGTATTGTTCCAAACACAGTGACATACAACACTATGATGAGTGGTATTTGTAGTGATATATTGGATCGTGCTATGATTCTTACTGCAAAATTACTTAAGATGGGTTTTATTCCAAATGTGACTACGACCAATGTATTGTTGTCTCATTTTTGCAAGCAGGGGATGCCAGAGAGAGCCTTACTATGGGGTCAAAAGTTCAGGGAGATCTGCTTTGGTTTTGATGAAATCTCCTATAGAATACTGGACCAAGCTTACCATTTGATGCAGGATGATGTTGAACTTGTGAGAGGAACATGTGAAAAGAGCCTTTTTTTGGATTTCCTTATGTACATTACATTTGACTATTTTTCAAGAAACAGACCTCATAACATAGAGGATGAGAATAATATAAAGTTGATTGAAAGTCAATTTGTTGCTTTGTGAACTTGGTGGTTTCATCTTCTATAATCCTTGAAATCTGCCAAGGTTTTGTATAATCATGAGAACAAGAAGTAGCCCTCAGTGGCTACTTGAGCATTACATGAAACAAGTGATAACAAAATGTTATGTGGCACAAACTCTACGAAATCAAGGAAGGATTGGTCACCTTTTTCTAAGGTGACCATCAGTGGTTATTACTACCAATCTGGAGTGCTTTTATGTGTGCTTCTCCATGAACGATAATAGCAGCTAATTTTTTAGAGGGCTGCATAGTTTGCTTCTGTGATTTTTGAGGCCTCGAGGATGTTATCAGTCTGAAATGTGGTTGAATCTGCTGAAGTGCACGCAATGGAGTATGAATGGAGTATGCTTTGTAAGTAAAGTAAATTCATGTACTTGTAGAAAAGTGTATGATATCAAATCTTGCTTGTGCCTGCCTGACCCCTGTTTTTAGTATGTGTTGCTAAGGTTGTATGACACACTGGGGGTCTTTAAGATTGATTTAGTTCATGTTTCGGTATTTTTTCTTTCTTGGGAGGGAAGAGGGGGGGAACATTATTTAATATGGTTTCAATTGAAGTTAGTTTCAGAATTTTGTGTGATTGTGTTGATTTGGGATTGAACGTCGTCAATGACCAAGTCTCCTAAAATCTTAAGCTATTAAGTAAGTTTCATAAATGGTTTTATATTTCTAACAAACATCTTGTGGAAGCTCAAGTGTCTGATTGATATATTGATGGTGTTACTGAAAAACTGCAGATAAATATAAAAAAAAAAAAAAAAAAAATTGGATTACTAAAATTACTCAAGTGTCTGACTTTAATGATCGTGTTATTAGTGTTTGATAGGAAAACATTAGTATGAAACTTAATGTTCAGTCATTGCAATCTTTCGTCGTATGACAAACTGATTCAAATTTGGGTTGCCTCTTTGGTTTCCTTGGTTAGGAAAACTTTTAGCTGGGAAATTAATGAACAACACAATTTTTTTGTCTGTTTTTAGCATACGGATTCATCAAGTAGCCAGGGGAAAGCAAATAAATGATTATGGGGGAATTCATATAGTAAATTTAGAGTTTCTTATAATTGTGTTTTTCCTCTGTATTGTATTAATATATGCAGATTTCTGTGTGGTACGTCAATTCCACCAATATAAATGAAAAAGACTTAAGAGACAAATGTGCGAGGGAGAGAGAGAGAGAAGAAGAAAAAAGAATTTATTGTTTATAGTGTTTTAAAATGTCTGCTATTTCTAGTCAAGTCATGAAACTACAAAACTATATGCTTTTTGTTCTAACAGTGAGGAAATATTTAAACTTTGGGTATAAGTCTTTATTGATGTTTTGACCTATTTAGTTTTGTAGAACATATGTGCAGCATTAGGAAGATGTCACTTTAACTCCCTAATTTGACAGCTTAGCAAATCGTGGTGTGAGAGTAGCTTGGTCTGTGTCATTTCGTAATAAATATTTTTAGTCATTGTTCCTTGATGAGCCTTACAACCATTGTGTTATATTCCTTTTAATTTAAGTATCATTTTATAATCAACATAAGTGAAACTGCTGCATTTGGCACATTTAAAGCCATTTCACTCGAAAGCCATAAAAAGAAATTGCTAGTTTCAATTTTGCTGTGGGCTTCAAATGTGTGTTACAATGTTTTCCTCATTTCTCAATGCATTAGAAACATTATCTTTGCCAACAATTTTCTGTCAGCCTGAAACTCCATCTTTTCACCTTTTTAAGAATTGATAACATGTTGAATAGTGGTAAGTGAGACAGGATATTATGTCCTGGCCATTTTTCTGATATCTAAAATTAGTACCATCCTGTTAGTCTGCTACATTAGCCTGCACTTAATTGAGTTCAAGTCCAAAATCACTGACACATCTTTGTAATATATTGGGATCTTTCATTCATGGATCTCAGATTCAGGAATTAGCTGATGAAAAAAAGTATCATGTGTTGTAATTGTAACTTGTCTTTCTTGGCAAAGTTATTAAGATCTTCGTGTGCAAAAGTGAAGTTTTCAACAGATTTAGAATCTCATAATGGAAGTCCAAGATATGCTTCGGAACTAAGTTTGGCTTTTGGCTTTCTACATTTCAGATGCATGAAAGACAAGGAGACTCAGAAAAATGAGGTCAATCCTGAAGGCAATAATAATATTGATGCTCATAGGAGAGAGCATTAAAAGAATGATATGGTTAAGTTTAGAAGCCAAAAGATTCTGGGGAAATGCTGAAAAGATTGAACTTGAGCATGTGGCTGCAGGCCATCCTTGTGTTGTTATGTTAAATAAGCAGAAAAGGATGGGGGCTTCAAATGAGCTGTTTGAGAAACATGAATACAAAAAAGAAAGAAGGAAGAGGAAGAAACTGCCAAGATAAAGGGCTGGATCAACAGTGATGATCACAAAGTTGCATTCATGAGTAGGAAAATATTTTGAGTATTTCCCATAGTACTGAGCACTCTTAACATTATTACTAAAGTTAGAAAGAAATAACCCACCCAAAAACATTTATTATATAGGTCATAGAAAAAGATAGTTAGTCAGAAAAAGGCAGCATAACCAAAGGAGTTAAATATTATTAGTGAGCTCTGATGTCAGTTTGAAAAGGGGGGAAATTTTTATTTTTTTTAATTGCTTGAGGAAATTTTCAGAAGGATTGAAAACATATAACATGATTTAAAATATATAATATCAAAACCTCAACAACAACAAAATTTTAAAAAATGTAAATCAAAGCCTAATTATGAACGTCAAATATTCTTGAATATTTTACCTGTAGAAAATATTTTTTCGTAATAAGTGATACATGGCAACACTTCCAAAATCCCTTCTGTATGCTATTTGCATTTTTACGTGTTGCATATTAGAAGTTGCAGAATTCTAAATCTTTCTGGGCTTCAAATAGAAATATTGAGAAATCATTATAAAACTATTGGTCAAGTACTGGCATACTATTGGTGGATTATTTAATTATTTATTTTGAAAGAAGAAACTAATGAATTTGAATCTCTAATGTGTATTGCAAGATCATTTCTTATTCAACAATCTTAAATGTTACTATATTGAAACTCTCTTGCTTGCCAATTGCCATGACTTGCAGGATTATTAGCTATGAATCTTACTATTATAAAATTATTTGCATTCGGTTTTCAGTAGAGTTACTAGGTTTACGATTTTATTTGAGCGGATTATTCGAAATAGTGGAATCATTCATTTTTTTCCATTCTCTTTTGAAGAAAACAAACTCAGAAAGATGATTCTACGTATTTTCAATAACGTATCGGGCTTTGTATTAGATGTTTAAGTCCCTTTGGGCTTGGTCTCAGTGAGTTGTGAACTGTGATTCAATAATCAGCTATTCAGAATCAGTCAGTGGACGTGGGCTTGGGCTTGGGCTTTTGGTATGGTCCAAGCCCAACAAGAGAGGCTCCCACTCTTGTTGCAACATCAATATTTATATGCCAACCCACCAAACTCTCCTCCTCCACACCTAAATGCGTTTAGAGTATGCGGAGCCGCAACTAATAGGGTTTTTATTTTCCTCTTGTTAGCTACTTTGCTTTATTCTTTGATGAAGATTCCGTTTTGTGTGTGTGTGTGTGTTTGTGTTTGTGTTTACTTGATGATGGTGATGATGAGGGCTGAAGCATATAGGGCAGAGTAGTTTTGAACTATGGCTCTGAAAAACCTGTAGGTTCTCTACAGGGTGCCCTGCTATTCATGCCCTTCACATAAAATATATGGCATCATAGTACGGATTTTGTGCTTTGTGGGTAGCTCTTGGGTTTGGGACTTTGGTCCTTGGAAAGGTTATGCCTTCCTTGGCCACAGTCACTCTTCCACTCTTTCCCACTTTTTCTCAACACAAATCCGCCTCCAAACGCCATTACATCACAACCACCGACTTCATCGTTGCCTTATCTGAGTTGTAGTAGTTTTGGTTTCACTTATTTCTTGATTTTTGAGTTATATATTAAAATTTTAGTTTTTGTTATTAATGATTTGTAACAACATTTTAATGTTATTTTCATAACATTTTAAGGATGTTTTGTTAAAAAATTTGGGATTTTTTGTGTGTGTACAATATGAATTGACATAAAGGAGGTGGATGATTGGTAATTTCCCAATGTGTGATACTTGATGATTTTTTTTAAATCAGTACCACTGTACCACTTATGACCCGAAAACCCATGCCTTGAAGTTTCTTGGTTCACTCCAATCTGAATATTTTTTGCCAATTTTAATGCTTCAAATTGAACTTGTTTTATCTCTATTCTAATCAATCCACCGTAATAAGCCATTTACAGCATGGGTTTTGACCTTGTTCAATGGATCCTCAACTACACTAACCTAATTAACTCTAGGATGCTGATCACTGCATGTTCTTTTTGAAGTGTGATGCCCAATCAAAAAAAATAAAATTGTAATTGATATCAATTGATTGAATTTTCTTGCCGGCATAGCTTTAACCAGCAACTTAATTACAAGAGGTTCTGGTTTGTTGGGACTTCTGTGTTCTTGATGCAAATCCTCTACCCTCAAATTCGACTCAAAGAAACAGGGTTCTTTACCAACTAAATGGATTTAAGAATGTGGGTTTGAGAAACGAGGCGCATCTATAATAAATCGCGTGTCGGTACCTTAATTTACAACGAAGTGCATGTTTTCTTTCCAAAAAAGAGCGTGTTGGATTGCTGGTACATTATTTTATGTAAAAATAATATTCACACTGATTATAAACTCAATTAATAATAACTTCAAAACTACTTACAAGATATAACAACTGCTTAGAAATTCTTTTATTAGATATAAACAAAGTGAACTTATTCAGTCACAGCAGTACAAAGTTCCTGCAGTGACATTCAAGCCTATGGGTTCAGTAGTACTTTAGTTTCACAAAACACCAACACAAATAACAATATCAAAAGGAACTAAGAATGTGTGGAGCTTCGAGGGGCATTTCGATATCTAGTGAATCATTTATGTGATGGTCATGAGCAAACAAACCCCTTTCCAAAACCCAGTCTTCTATCATTGTTTGAGAATTCACAGCCTGGTCAGCAGACAAAAGATGGCCAGCACCCAAAACCACAACATTGGTGAGTGACTTCCAACTTTGTACATACCCAGCAAGCTCTCCATTCACCTTCCAAATCTTCCTTTCTGCATTCAGAAACTCCACAATTCCTTCCCATTTCATTGTCTTGACCCATGCCTCAACTTGTACCACTCCATCCATCAAATCATGTTGACCTTGGTATAACAACACCCTGCTCTTCCTCACCAAGTGCTCTACCATATATTTCACACTCTTCATCGCGTCAGCATGCAGTGCAGCATCTACAATGTCACTGCATAACACATACACAAATGATTCATTCACCCCCAAGGCCTTCTTCACCTCAGCAAAGTTCAAGAACTCAGCAACCAAGTCATCTTCATAAGGAGCTTTCCTTGTATAGTCATACAAAGTAGCCAACCCTGTGATGTTTCGCAACACTCTCAAAACTTCGTTTCTCGCATCCGCTGCTTCACTCCAATTCCCTATCCGAGCCAATCCAACTACTTCCAATTGAGCTTTCTCCAACTCATTCTTTTGCCTATCATTGATCAATCCAACATAGTAAGCATTGGCAGCATGAGTAACCACTTGGGTTACAGGGTCTGTTAACCCATCACCAATTGCCACACCAGCCAAATTCACTCTTTCAGACCCTTGCAACTGAGCATTTTTCTCCAATATGTAATACCCAATAGCAGGTACATACTTCCCGGCATAGCTTTCCCCTGTAATATAAATAGGACGATGCTTGAAAACAGGGTCAAGTTGAACAAACCGTGTAATAGCAGCAAAAAGGTGCTTGGCAACGGCGTTTTGATCGGTTGGAATTTCTTCAGGCGTTGAGGCCACACTGAAGCCAGTTCCAATGGGACTATCAAGAAAAAGAAGGCCAAAAATTCTATTCCAAGCACCAGGGTTGGGTTCAAGGGTAAGGGATTTTGTGACACGCCAGGGTCCGAGCTCATAGAAGTTGCCGATCATGGAGGAGCAGCCAGGGCCACCTTGGAGCCAAATGAGAAGTGGGGTTTGGGAGAGAGGTGAAGTTGAGTTATGGGCTTCATAGAAAGTGTAGAAAATGGAAGAACTGGAAGTGGGGCTGACTGGGAGGTAACCATATTTGGTGGGTAGGGCTTCTTTAGGGAATGGATGAGTTGATTTCAAAGCTGATTGTGAAGAAGAAGCTGAGACTGAGAGAGGGCTTTGAAAGAAGCAGAAGAAGATAAGGGTTTTGACGAAGAGGGACGTGCGAGTCGTTGACTCCATTTCGTGGTGTATATGTTACTCAGTCTACACAGATGGTAGAGCTGAACTTGTTACTACTCTTGGATTGTCTAACAGTGATGGATATATAGACATGGACAACATTTGAGAACGAAGTTACGCGAGGGAATCTTCTCTCTTTCCACTGTCGGCAAGTACGCAGTTGAAGGGATATCTTTTGTAATACTTGACTTGGTAAAATTAAAAATGAAGAAGTAAAAGAAGAAGAAGATGTAAACTCAATTAAATGAGTTTATATGTTGTAATTTAAGTACGTGTAAAAGATTATATCACCTAAAGAGTGCACATTACTTTAAAAATATTATTTTATCACAAAATGCATGTAATTTTAATAAATTATTATTGAATATGTAGGAATCAATCACTTACTACCAACAGGTCAAAAATTATAACGGATGGTAGTAAGGGTGCATCTTTTATTTCCTTAAGGATTCACGTAAGACATAACTACATCTAAAGAGACTGCACCAAACCAACAAAGTGTTTGATTAATGGTGGCAATTTAAAGCCCCTTTAAGGTAGAAAACACAAGCTCGAGACCCGAGAAACGTATTTGGTCGAAGGGAGAGTTCTTAACTGCTCTCAACTCACGACCAGATTAGTTCTAAAGAATGAACCGATTAATAGAAATACGAAAAAAAATAAAAAAATACACTCACTACAAGAGTCATAGGTTAGGATGTTAAGTTCATTGAATCATATGAGCAATGTTATTAAACCTGGTCCGACCATCGATCCGGTCGAAATACTAGATCACTGATTCAATTGCATGACCTTATAACTATATCCAAATCTATAATTTATATTAAAAAAATTATAAACATACTCAAATACTTATAAAAAAAATAATACCAATTTTAAATATTTTAATATGAAATATAATACATCACACATTATTATCCAACAAAAGATCAAACAAACATATAATGCTTGTGATACTAATGTTTTATGTTCAATAGACAATATCTCTAGCTATAAATTAAATCAAAATTCCTTGTATAGTTCATAACCAAGATAATATTAGTATTGTAAGTATATAACCTATATGAGTTAATAAGCAACAAATCACTCAAATATTTCAAAAGAAAATAAACCATTTGTGAATTTAAAAAAAAAATGATATCCTTTATAATTTATTTATTTTTGAAAAAAAAAATTATGAACCAAGTCAGGTCACCAGTTTTCTTAAAAATCGGCTAGGTCAAACCAGTTCTATTATTTGGCTGATCCAATATGAAAATCGGACCAATCATATAATCGATTTACTAATTTCCGAGTCAACTCGGCCGGGCCAATCTGGTTTTTTCAACACTGCCCAAGAGTAATGCTAACGAAATAAAGCTAACAATCTCCCCACACTCCCCATGTCCAAAACCTTTAAGGAGAAGAAATTGATTCTTTGGGTTTAGTAACAGAAAATTATAAAATTAAAATTTCATAAAATGAAACCATAAGTAATATTAATGCAGCAAACCAGTTTCTCTTGATTCAGCCACAATGCGCAAATGTCTAGTCCCCGATCAGCTACTTGAGATCAATTTTTTGCTTACAAAGACTCTGATGAACCTATCTCTACCTTAGCAGAGTGTACAGTGATTGTTTTTCCCTCTGAGACACCACAAACACATCTCTATCTAAATCCGAAATGGAGTACACGGTGATTTCTTTCTTCCAAAAACCTTCCATTATCTCCTCCCGGAATAGAGTAACCTAGATTAAAAGAAAGTTCTTAGAACGCTACCGACACACTCTTCCTTTTTCACTAGAACAAGGATTCTCTTTAATTCAAATGCTCTTAAAATTGAGTTACAAAACTTCAACTCACTCTAAAGTATTGTTGCAAGTATGAAGCTTCAAAAATTAGAAAGAATAGAGGTGTTGCAAGCCGTTGGAGAGAGATTCGGGCTAGAAATTACCCTTCTTAAGTCGTGGAAGGCAGATCTCATAAAATACGCGTAGTTGCTTGCTCATCCAATAAGTGCTGTTATAGTTGCTAGTTTTCTGTGTTTCTAGTACGGCAGCAAACAAACAGTTTTTGAATGTTAAAATAAACATATTTCCTCATTTAAGGCTGAAGCATAATCATAACGACATAGAAAAAATAAAATTCATTATCATTAATACAAAACATTAATTCCAAACATTGTTCTCAATTTATCATTGGGAAAAGTGTGTGTCCTTTTAAAGGACACAAACTTAGATCCTTTTAAGATAGAGATAGACACAAAGAAGTGAGTTCCACTAAAAAAAATAAAAGTATAGTCTCATCTCTTTTTATCTATCTTTCTCTTAAAATGATTTAAGTTTGTATCCTTTAAAATGACATACATTTTTCCCTTTATCATTTACATATAATAATCAATTTTTTCACACATGTCAAAATCCTACCAAACCAAATTTGAAATTCAAGCATAAATAACCTGTTAAATCTAGTTGCAGCAGTAAACCAACGTCAAGGGATTTAAACAAATCAACCATAACTAAGGTAATTTAAACTCATAAATCTTATCAATTTATGCAAATAGCACACAATTTTTTTATATGCTCAAACACTTAATATTCATCATCAAAACTAAAAATATAATATTCTCCTTTTATGATGACCCTTTATGAAACATTGGCAACAATTTGAGCAACATCAACATCTTTATCACAAATTAATTGGAGTCGGTGCTCGATGAACCCAAATTAATTGGCAACAATTTGAGCATAGCAAAAAATTTATAAATAAATAATCATCCCATATATCACATGCAGCCAACAAGAATCAAAGTTGCTAGCAATAATATAAGAATCAAACACATTAAGAAAATCAAAGAGTGATGGTTTAGAAAAGGCTCCTCCTTAATCCATAAACTCCCGCTTAATCCTTGAAGGCTTTATAAGCTCCCCCTTAGTTTATTAAGGCTTGCTTTAAGGATATTAGTGAAAATATAGCTCACTCAGCTTGTTTTACCTTTGGCTTTAGCTACGTTACTGTACTTGTGTCTGTATTGGATTACTACCTCTAATATTTCTGTTAGTTTGTTATAGAGTTAGTTTTCCCTTGCTGACTCAGATCTCTCAACTGAGTGTAATTCGTGTACCCTATAAATAGAGTCACTATATATCAGTTCAGCATTAATGAAATACACAAGAGTTCATTGATTCTCACTCTCTCTCTCTTTTCCCTCATTCTCTCTAAATTCTGATTTGGTCTCAAAGCCTTCATTATGAGGGCCTAATCCATTTCTTGCTCAGTCATGGCTTCCGCGACGTCATCTACTCAAGAGAATCGCAACAGTCACACCTAAAATCACACCACAAACACTGTCTCTTCGATGGAGAAAACTCCAAATCTATTCAACTACCAAATCTCTGTAAAACTTATAAGGATAATTTCTTGTTCTGGAATCAGATTGTTAAGCCGATAATAACAACACATCAGCTTCAACGATTCCTTGTCAATTCAAAGATTCTGCCAAAATTCCTAACTGAAAAAGATCGAGACGCTGCATCAGTGAATCCAGAGCATCTCACATGGCTCACACAAGATCAGATGTCGCTACTTGGCTTCTCCCACGATTTCAGAGTCAGTAGTAAATGAAATACTAGGAGTTAAGCATTCTCATGAAGCTTGGGAGAAGATCCACAAACTCTTCCATGGAATGATGAAATCTAAGGCCAGAAACCTCAGATCTGACCTTCAAACATTGAAGAAAGGCTCCAAGACGATGTCTGAGTATTTATCCAGAATCAAGTCCCTTTGTAACTCGTTGAAGGCGATAAGCAATCCTGTATCTGTAGAGGATCAGATCGATTACATACTCAAAGGTTTGCCTTTAGACTACAACTCGTTCGTTCTCAATGTTCATTCGCGTGAAAAAGCCTATGGTGTGGATGACATTGCAATTGAGTTATTGGTCTTCGAACAGTTGTTGCTGAAGCAAAATGAGTCATTATTGAGCAACCCAGCCTCAGCGAATGTTGCTTCAACTCAGAACAAGCCAGACAAAATTCCTCTGTTTGCCCCTGTTTTGCAGAACGCAGAACAAAGCATGAACCAGATGCAGGTTTTCCATGATTCTGGCTTCTCCAATGCTGGTAACAGGGGACGAGGCAAGCCTGGAGGTCGCAATTACAGAGGAAGAGGACGTGGTCCTCGTTCGAATGTGCCCTGTCAATTGTGCAACAAATTTGGTCATGATTCGAAGCTGCTGGTATAGGTTCGATGTGAATTTCGTTCCTAATATTCCACCACCAAACTCCAACAAATTGCAGTATTTTGCTTTCACACAGCAGAAGCCTTATTCAGTATGTTCCAGTTCGACAGCAACAAAATCCATCACCTCAAGCCATGATTGCATTTCAACCTTACCTCTTCCAGTACTCCATGCCAGAACTAAACATCTTGAACATGATATTTTCATTGTTAGAGAACGTGTGACTAATAAGGAATTGGTGGTATCTCATATTCCCTCTCTTGATCAGATTGCCGACACTTTTACCAAAGCTGTGTCTCCTGTGAGGTTTGCTGAATTGAGATCCAAACTCAAGGTCTTGGATGGCTCTTTGTTCCAGTCCAAGCCTCCTTGAGTTTGCACACGGGTATCAGTGAAAATATAGCTCACTCAGCTTCTTTTACCTTTGGCTTTAGCTACGTTACTGTACTTGTGTCTGTATTGGATCTCTAATATTTCTGTTAGCATCTGTTAGTTTATTATAGAGTTAATTTTCCCTTGCTGACTCAGATCTCTCAGCTTAGTGTAATTCGTGTACTCTATAAATAGAGTCACTATGTATCAGTTCAGCATTAATGAAATACACAACAGTTCAATGACTCTCACTTTCTCTCTTTTTTCCCTCATTCTCTCTAAATTCTGATTAAGGAGAGCTCCCCTAATTAAGTTGATAATCCAAATTGATAAACTTGTTCTTTCCCCCTCTTCCGCATCAAAAAGGTCAATTATAGGATGTATAAATAATTAAAAAATGCATGAAAGATTCAAAGTGACATGATCAAGAGAATATGCCAAAATATTAAAGATGGATCACAGTATCAATTTTTTAAAGTTTTAAAAACATATTAAAAGGATTTAGAAGATTTAAAAATACATTTAAAGAGAATTTTGGAAGGAACTTTCAAAAAGAATCAAGTGTAACTTAAGTGCTTGCATGTGCTGGTGATTCCCCTCCACCCAAAAATAAAAATAAAAAAACGAGGCTGGTTTAGCTCTTCATCTTCAAGAAATCATCATCAAAACTTATTCTTTGAATAAATCACTTAACTTTCTCGTCTTTTAGTATGTCAACAGTAAAGCATAGCAGTATTACAATTTATTGTAAAAAAACAAAAGTTTATTTCTCTTAAGCACTTTCTTAATGTCATTCGACACTACAAGGTCAAAGGTTTACCACGAAGAACCGATGATTTTGTGAGTAGGAGTTATAAAACACTTAGTAAAAACAAGAGATTTGTCATAAAAAAGGAGGATTGGACAATTTGGGGCAAAGAGTTAAAAGAATGTGAAAGTGTGTGATTGTGGAAGAGAAAAAGAAAAGAGGATTTTAAGCTTTTTTAATAAAACAAAAGTATGAAAAGGACAAAATTTGCCCCTTATTTTAAATGACAGTATTGCAAAACCCAAACAAAAGTCAAAAACCCAGGAGGAGAAGCAATTATAAGTAGCAATTACCCAATAGTTGCTCTTTCGCCCAATAAATCAAAAGTAGTTGCTCTTTTGACAGCAACGACAAACTTGAGTTTTCAAAGTAAAAATATAACAAAGGCTTAGATACGGTTCCTTATCATATATAAAAAGCATGATTATCAGATACAATCATCATTTATACACTTTAACACCAAAAACATATATCTAAAACAATATGCATGATATTAACAAGAAGCACATAAAACACATAATATACTAAAGCAATAAGTTACACAATTAACTTGGATTTTTCATTAAAGCAAAGCAGACAAACAGATCAATTAGGTAAAATAAAAGACTTGTTATATCTTTCTATTCCTTTTATTACCTTCCCCGACATTGTACTTCCAACTGCTTCTCCTTCAGAATTTGGTTATCAATCCCTCCAGAATTTGGAGAGCTCACCAGACTTTGAGCTTGATCTTGTGGTCGTAACTGCTCCTCATATTGGTTTGAATTTTGACTTAGTTTACGAGGCCTCCCCCGAGGACGTCTACCTCGACCATACTGCTGCCGAGCTTGATTTTTTTGTTGTAAATGCTCCTCATCTTGGTTAGCATTTCGACTTAGTTTAGGACGCCTCCCCCGACCTCTTCCTCGACCATGCTGCTTACGTTGATCTTCTTGTAACTGCTCCTCACATTGGTTTGCACTTGGATTCGGTTTACGAGGCCTACCCCGCCCTCTTCTTGAACCATTCTGATGTTTCTTCTCCATTTTGTTTATATTTGGCTCCTGTTTATCAAGAATGCCATCTTCTGAGGGCAACAATGACTCCCCTGAATAGTTTTCAACAGTCTCTAACTTACGAGGCCTTCCTCTGGGACGCTTTATTGGTTTCTCCTCAGGATTCCCATCCCCAGACATTGGATTCTCATCTAGGTTTCCATCAGGACTTCCTTGATTGCAATGCTGGGGCTGCTTATCATGAACATTCAAACAAGTTAATGAACCTTTCATATTGGACCGCGTAACCAAATCAATGTCTGAAGATACTTGCAGTTGCAACTGTGTTGGTGATAATTTTATTACCGTGTACCCTGGAGGCCCTTCTAAAGTAGGAACCGCCAACTGCTGCCCGAAATTGCGAGTTACATTAATTGGAGAATTCCATGTTGTTGGCTGGGATGAATAAATTGTTTCTTTTTGGCCTGAATAAGGAGAGCTCAGCAGACCTTGAGCTTGCTCCTGTGGCTGTACACGGTGTGCCTTTCTATGTAGTTTAGATTTCCTTCCCCGACCTATACCTCGACCTTGGGGTCGTGACAGCCACCATTTGTCAATTTTGTTTACATTTGGATTTTGCCCAGTAACAAAAGCATCACCTGAGGGCAACAATGACTCCCCTTGATAGTCTGCAACTATCTTAGACTTACAAGGCCTCTTAGACTTAGGAGGCCTCCCTCTGCATTGAAGCTTTAGAGGCTGCTGCTCAGGATCCCCAGGCATCGGGTTCTCATCTTGCTTGTGTTTCTGAAAATTCAAAGAAGATAATGAAGCTGACGTTTTGGCTGCTGAATCCAAACTACTTTCAGAAGGCCCATGACATGACACTTGCAGTTGCAAGTGAGTTAGTGATAATCCTATCCCTGCTGCTGGTTTGCATTGTGGCAACCCTTCTGAAATAGGAACCAACAATGGCTGCTCGGAATCACCAGGAAGGTTCAACACTGTCGACTGGGAGGAACGAATCGTTTCCAAATGCAGTATGGACTCCTGTTTTTGACAACAAATCTTAGATCATATATGCATATCCACATTCAAATCAAAGGTATAAGGGGTATGCACTTACATTTCTAGAAATAATTTAATAAAATGGTATGACAGATGACTCCAACGAGGTCAAAGGGGGGGAGGGAAAGAAACAATAAATGGGGTCCATTACCACGAAAGGAATCAAGGAATAAAGCTTGTTTTAGAGGATTTTTTTCAATCTGTGTTCAATTATTTATAGCTTTTTTGAAAGGTTTATGATGTAAGCGAGCTAGCTTGTAATAAATATAGTTTGTCAGGTTGAGTAAAGCATAGAAAATTCTTTATATTGAAAATTGAAAAAATTGGGGATCTTAGCACAATAATGAGTTGTCACGACATGACTTAGATGTCACAAGGAATCAACCTCTTGCAAATGTATGACAAACAATAGACACAAAAATGGATCTGACACTTTTATAAACAAGTGCTTTATAGTATTAAATTGTCCTTTATTGAAAATTGAAAAAAAAAAAAAAAAAAAGGGAACAAATAAATAGGAAAGCTTGCAATGCCAATAAAGTTTTGTCGAACTTTCAGCATGAAGAAGTAATGCACATGAGAGTAAATTCAATTGAGTCATATGCTAATATGACAACTGAGTCCATGTCAAAGATTAGACAAAATTTCTGCATTTTGACAGAATTGATGTACATTGTACCGGAATTTGTGACGACTCCTCTTCTTCCTCTTTCCCATGTTCTTGTGTCCATTCTACCACCCTATTTGGCTCATTGGTGCTACCACCATCTAACTCTAACACTTTAATCTGTTTCTTAATTCCTTCCTCTTGCATCCTTTTGCCTCTCTCCCTCTTCTTGCTACCCTTACATTGTTCTATCTGTTCTCCATCACCCATTCCGTCATCACCATCAAACAGAACCACGTACCTCCCACTATCAGTACGCGCAAGCTCCCCTTCATGGCAAAGCTTCCTCAGATGAACACCAAGAATCTTCACATGGGCCAACGGCAAATCCTCATATTCCCTTCCAATGAATTCCGTTATTTCCTCCACACTCGACCCTGTTCCCTCGTTCAACTCCGTTATTGCCCTGCGTATCATCTTCACACACAAAATAAAAAACAAGTAATGTAAACACACACAGCATTAGACAAAAAAATAAAATAAAAAATAAAAATCATGAAATAGGCTATGAAGATTGAAAGAGAAAGAGCGCGTGTGATACCAAGGCGTAAGGGGGGTGAGTGGGGGTGTTGAACGTATTGAATAGCTGTTGGAGGCGATGTTGTATGAAGGAGGAACGGTGGTTGTCGATGGAGAGAGAGGGATTGAGTTCGGTGAGTTTAGAGAGGAGAGAGCTTTTGAGGTGAGCCATGCTCGTGCTTCTGGAATTTCCCTCTTGAGACTCACAATCCTCCATTGTTGGTAAATCCCTCAGGGGTTTTGAGTCCATGATGCTCGTGTTTCTGGAATTTCCTACATGAGACTCATAATCCTCCATTGTTGGTAAAGCCCTGAAGGGTTTTGAGTTCATGAAGCTATTGTTGGGCTTTTTACTTTTTTGCCCCTCGTTAATTAATTAATAATCAATTTGACCCTCCCCGAGAACTATCCACCATCCTGCCCCCATTTAGTCGATCAAGTTGCACTTTTAATCGACTAAATGGGCAAAATTCAGAAATCAAGAAACACGAATTTTAGTCGACTAAATATTCACCTTGATCGACTAAATGTCGAGCACTTTTAGTCGACTAAGGCCATTATTTAGTCGACTAAATATCGCGGACCAGGTTTTTTAAAACCCCCCATTTCGCAACGGGGGTTATTTTGAAACTCTAGTCGACTAAGGCCACGCCCCAAGAACCCATCTCCTCAACCAAGTTCGAATCTCATCCCTTGAAGGTCCGATTGAAGCATCATTGGTTCACAACTTGCGAAATTGACATTGTAGGTAACATTTTCTGACTCCATTTGGTTTTAGGTTTAGATTTTTTTTTGTTTTCTCCATGCTTTGGTTTCTGTTATTTTAAATTTCTTGTTTATGGTAGAAGGTTGTTTGCGGTTTCGTGGCTTTAGGTTAGGGGTGGGGTGTTGAGTTTGATGTGTGGGTAATGGACTAGGGTTGATGTGGTAGCTTAGGGTTAGGGTTAGGGCAAGGGCTGCTGTTTTGGTTGGGGTGTAGGTTAAGGGTTTCTGTTTTTATGTTAGGGTATAGGATTGGTTTTCCTGTTATAGTTAGGGTTAAGGTTAGGGTTTAGGGTTAGGGTTAGGGCTGCTGTTTTGGTTGGGGTGTAGGGTTGAGGGTTTGGGTTTGGGTTGTTGTTTTTGATTGGGTTTAGGGTTTGTTTTATGTTTTATGACATAGGGTTAGGTTTTAGTTTTTTATGTTGAATTTTAAATTTTTTTGATATTGTTATTGTCCATTGATATTGTTTCCACTTGCATTGTAGGTACTCTTGTTCCCATGGCTGAGCGTAGAAGATCGAGTAATGTGGGAAATGAGAGACGTAAGAAGGTACGACTAAACCAGTTCAGGTTGCTCGACTAAATCAGTGGTTTTGGTACCCCAATCTGATTTCCTTGAATTTTTTTGTATAGAACCGATTGTAGTCTAATGTACAAGCGTATTATGACTTGGGGAACACAATTTCAGGTACAGAACAGTCAATACCCTATTCGTATGCATTGTTGGATTTAGTATTGATTGAAATCATTTGTTTACGCTCCCCGAAACTAGGTGAATTCATATAGGGGTCATATCAATAATTGTTATGAGTTTCAATATATCAATATTATCCAATGTTACTAATTTGAATAGGCATGAAAAGTCAAATAACATAATGACAATGGGAGTAACACAAAGTAACATAAAAATTCATAACACAATTACATGAACTCTACCATAAGACCTTAAATACATGAACATGATTGGTTCAACTTTGTCTAATCCTCATAGGACATGTACGTTTATTGTGACCAATTTGCTTGCAGGTGCTACATCTACTTTGACTGCTTGTTGGTTGGGACTCAACCCAATCCATCTCATTCTGTATCCTTGTAGACTTCGGTCTCCCTTGTGCACGAACCAAAGATGCATTTGGGATAATAGTTGGACCATCTATTTCTGGAATCAACAACTCATTACCCATTGGAAACCAATGTGCAGCATAGACCTTCTCAATGTGTGTAATTGAGAACACATGATCGACATAGTCATAGTGGTTCAATTTTTCAACCTTGCACATCGCTAGCACATGACTGCAAGGAAATCGTCTAGCTGTGAACCGTCCACATTGACATTTACGATTTAGCAAGCCAACCCTCGTAATGTCGCCGACATCATGTGTAGATTGATTGTAGGCATCCTCAACTTCAAACAATTGCAAGTCTCTATCAAAAACACGGACACGGAGACTGACAATTAACTGATCATTCTTTTGTAAGAAGTCCTCAACCTTTTTTGCAATTCTCCATCCTTTGGTCTTTGCATTTTGGATCTTTTCACGCCTCTTCACAAAATACTCTACAAGTCTACTTTGCGTCATCTTGACCAATGCCGTTACTGGCAAATTACGTGCACCCCGTAGGACCTTATTGATACACACAAATAGGTTAGTCGTCATATGACCAAACCTTCGGTCATCCTCATTATAAGACTTGCACCATTTCCCTTTGGGAATCTGATCTATCCATGTGGCTACTTGGGGGTTACTGTCGACAAATTCTTGAAATCTTAAATCAAAGTGAATCTTCGAACACATGTATCCTGCAAAAAATTAACCCAAATTGAATGAGTTATACATAAACAGCATTACATACAACATGTATACATTCATGAAAATAGCTTACCTAGTTTCATCAGCGTCACAACACTCGTCCGTATCAATCTTGAACACAGAACCAGGATTAATCTGTGTCATGTAGGTCAGCCAACCAGGTAAGATGGCATATGATTTATCCCAGTCGCCAAACAACTTCACAATGGCCTTCATTTTAGCCTTCCAAGCCTTCTTATAAGATATGTTGTATCCATACAAACGCTGTACCCTCTCCTGAATAAGAACTGGTTTCAGAGATGGATCTTCTTTTAACATACCTATACCAAAATCAAAGTCAACACAGTTAATAAATAAAACCGTAAAAATAATGTAAACATAAACCCTAAACCAAACATCGCGTAATACATACTTATAATGGCTGCACAGATTACATCAGAATCCAGCTGTCTATGGTCCCGGGTAAGGCCTTGGTTTAGGCAGGTGTGTTCTTTAGCCCACTTACTAACAACCCAAGTATTTCCATTCTTGGGCAACATAGCCCGCACGTACCAGGGACAACCATCAATATGGTGTCAACACTTTATCACAAATCTATGGTCATCACTTTTTGCCACCACAGCAGTACGATGTGACTTCATACAATATAATTTGATTGCATGTTGCATTTCAGATTTAGTTCGTAACTCCTGGTAGAAATATAATGGATCCCCTAAATGCCAGCCACCGTGGAAGTCATCGTCGCCATACAATATCTCCGTCTCATCATTAGGGTGAGCCCAATTAATGAAGGAATAATGTGGGCTTTCGTTCCAAAATTGCTCAATATCGGAACCTACGTCCAAATTCCAGGAGTTTTCTGTCAGTACGATTGATAACACAAATAGGAAATATTCATTTAAAAACTGTAATTTACTATCTTACCATTGCTAACAGGGTCAACACGGAGTGGTGGCATCACCTGGGAACTCAAGTTTCCTGAACTAGTGTCAGCGTCAAAATTCCCCTCTACGTCCGTATCTGAGCTGTCACCCAGCGGAATAACACTCTCGGGTTCACCATCGTCTTCACTGTCCATATCCTCCTCATGCTCATCCTCATCCTCGTCTATTTCCCTCAGTGTTATCTGACTTAAGACAGGTGCAGGAGCAGATAAACCGACGACTCTGTCTTCTTGACTTTGACTTCTTTCATGCATAGGTGTAGATGAAGATTGACCACAGTCTATTTCAACATATATCTCAATAAAGTTTTGAAATTTTCGGTCCACAATTGCATCTATGACACATTCCACATCTTCATCGTCACATATATCATTATCAATGTAGAATATAGCATCCTTACTAAGTGTAGACTCTACCCTGGCGATCATCCGTTGAACGCACTGGCTGTCTTGTAGCCCCAATTTTTGGTGAATCCTCCCCTTAAGCTCATTGTACGTGGTGCCACGTTTGATTTTCAACATTTTCGTTTTTCCTTCAAATTGAACACCGTTGGGGCCTTCATAATGCTTTCCATCATAGTAAATCATGGTAACATACATGTTTGGACTTGAGCTCATCTTACACACGAAATTTGGGGGTAGGAATCAGATTTTAGGGTTTTGGGTTCGGATTTGGGGGAAACAAATTAGAAAATAAGGGAAATGACAATGATTTCACAATTACTATGCATTGGAGATGGTAGGATGAAATGGAAGGGTGATTGGAGGTCCTGTTGCTGACAAACAAGAGAAAGAGGGGTTTTGATTTCGAAAATATTGCAAACGAGACCGAGAGAGGTCTGGATATAGGGTTTTCCGCGATATTTAGTCGACTAAATAATGGCCTTAGTTGACTAAAAGTGCTCGACATTTAGTCGATCAAGGTGAATATTTAGTCGACTAAAATTCGTGTTTCTTGATTTCTGAATTTTGCCTATTTAGTCGATTAAAAGTGCAACTTGGTCGACTAAATGGGGACAGGATGATGGATAGTTCTGGGGGAGGGGTAAATTGGTTATTAATTAATTAATGAGGGAAAAAAGGGTCAAAAAGCCGCTATTGTTGAGGTTTAGAGGGTTTAGTTTGTTAGGATTTTTATTTAAGTAGCATCGATACTATAACAATGTAACAATCAATTAATATTATTATTAATATTATTATCAACCAATTTAATTGTTAGATCGATTATATTGATCCAATGGTTATGTTTATTTTTATTTTTGTATGATTATGATTCTCCATATTTAATATTATTGTATTGTTATGATTCTACATATTTAATACTTTTTTTTTTTTTTGGAAATACACATATTTAATACTTTATCATAACCATACAATGGTAAGAAATAAATATAAAGTATTGAATGTGGAAAATCATAATCATACAAAGATGAAAATAAATATAACCATTGGATCAACATTATCGATCTAATGATGAAATTGATTGATAGTAACATTGTTAACAACACTAATTAGTTATTATAATATCTTACCCCTAATTATATATATCTCAAATATCCTTAGATTAAAATATAAGAAAGAAATGATAAATATTAATTAAAATTATAATTTAATAATTTTAAAGAATAATAAATAAGATAGACATAAAAAATATATATAGATAAAATAATTTATTTCATTTTTTAATACCCTATCTTTTATTATCTTCAATTTAAATTTTTAGGTGTAATATTGAAAATTTGGGATTATATTGGGAGGTATCACCAAACTCAAAATTTCGAAATCTCATCCAATGTTACCGGTTTTACTAGTTAAAAATGGTTATTTAAATTTAAAGGTAATTTTTTTGAATATTTGCAAAATATCCTTGAAGAGACTTTTGACATTCTCACCACACTTTTCCGAATTGCTAAAACAATATATTTAACTCCAAACCAAACTCAAAAGTCTGATCCAAATTCCAAAAAAAACAAAGAAATAATAACTAAAAAAACTCAAGGGGGCTAAACTAAAGCTAAAAAGAAAAAGGAAAAAAATATTGCTTCTCACTCCCAAGTCCCAACACGTAAAAGATGTGTGGCTAAAATGAAGAGGAAAATAACAGTAATAATTCATGAGTATCGAGAACATGGGGTCTCCTCCACAACCATTATAAATTCCTTGTTTCAAGGACTATGAAAGTTACTCATCAATATTTTTTTGGAAACAATCGTATGTATTTCTTTTATTAGTTTATAAAATAAAATTACTTCTTCATTTAATTATAATGCTATTAATGCTTGTTATGTGTTGTGCGTCATATATGCCTAAGTTGTAGGTATTTGAGTGAGAAACCTCCTAACGAATTCTTTTTTTCTCCTAATGAAATTTAAATACTATAGGACGTTTGCGTTGCCACCAAGTTTCCCACCTCCCTTCCCGAAATTTTCATATTAGGTTTTTTTTTTGTAAGCTCTCATATTAGTATCTTGTCTCGCTTGCATGTGTTTTTGTTAATAAAAAATAGAGTAAATACTCTTTTTTGTTCTCGGCAAATTTCACAATGCCCTTTTTAGTTCTTAGAAAATAAAAAGACTCATTGTGATCCTTAAAAAATTTAAAAGGAACCCATTTAGTTGAAATCGAGGTCCTTCACAAATTCAAAAAAGACCCATATTAGTCCTCAAAATGACTAAAATGGGTCCATTTTGAATTTTTTAGGGACCACGATGGCCTTTTTATTTGCTAGGGACTAAAGCGGGCTTTGTGAAATTTGTTGAGGACCAAAACAAATATTTACTTTAAAAAATAAGCAGGATTTCGTGTTTGGATGCAGAGAGAAGTACTTTTAATTTAAAATTAATTTGAATAATAAAATAAAAAATTATAGAAAAAAAAATGTAACAGTAATTTTTTATATAGCATTTGTGTTAGAAATATTCATTAACTTAGTAATATCATAATTAAATTATTATTGAAAATTATATTTTATGAAATTTCTAATTTCATTATTTTATGCAAGACAATAACGAAAAAATTAGAAGATAAATAATATTTTATCTTCTATAACAATTTTATTCAAAAAGAAAAAGAAAAAAACAAGTAGACATCCTAATAAATAAGTTAGTAATTATAATATCATTAAAGACGTAGCGAGCAGAATATCATTAAAGACGTTAAAATGATAATACGTATGGAAAAAATTAGTACAAATTAAAAAAAAATTATATATTAAAAATTTCAACATTAATTATTTTTATATATTAAATTAAAATTAAAATTTTAATCATATTATAATAATGTATTAGATAATATAATAATTTTAAGAATAGTGAGTCAAATTAAACACAAGAAAAATTAATTATAGTATCAATTACTCGAGGGCAAAAGTGCTTAAATTATGATTATAAACAAAGAGTATATACACATATTCATGCAGTGTTGAATCATGCCATGCATGATTTTATTTTTATCTGAATTCCAATTATGTGATGATATAAATTAGATATAATTCTAATCACATAAAATGTATATACATGCAAATTGGATGAAGGCATAAGTTTGTTAGTGTCATATAAATTTAATTGCAATTGTTTGCGTTAGTGTGTAAATTATTCCTCCTTTTTATTCAATCTCAAATTTGTTTTCTTTATCCTCTTGTCGGTAACCATCCCCAAACTAACGAGAAGACAGACATAACAATTAATTAGTTGCTAATTACAATTTATTATTGTTCATATATAATGATTTATTTGTCTTTTCATCTCGTTCAAACAGAAATAACTCATTATCACTATATGTGCATGAAATATTAGACATCTATTCAAGTAAATATAAATTGCGTTATGAAACAATAATTGTCATTAATTATAAACAAAATAACCTATCAGTTATGATATTAGCAAATGACTCAATTGAATTTGCTCTCGCATGCCATTTCACACATAAGGAAAAATGCGTAAGTTGCTCATTATTTGTATGTTTTCAAAATCGATCAAGTAAGTCATAAGAAGAAAAATTTTGACTTTGGCTTGGAGTACCTACCAACTGCTAACATAAATTAGGCATGAAATTGCAAATGTATTAAAGTAATTATTACTTTATGTAAGACAATGTCAGCCCATCGACAAATCAAGTAAAAGAATAAATAGAGAAAAGTTA